CACACTACATACACCATATACACATAAACACATACCACACACACACATTACACATACAACACATACACTACAGACACACAAACACAGACACACACACAAAGCCAGGGGGTAATAATTCTGTGGGTTTTCCTCACACAATATGAATATTAAGAGGGTCTGGGCATGAGTCTGGAACCTCTGAGGGAATAGGCCTGAGCCAGGACCTCTGTGGATCCAGGTGTCAGTCCAGGATGTCAGAGGGAGTAGGTAGGAATTGGAAACCTCTGTGGGTCTGGCAAGAGTCTCAGACCTCTGAGGGAGTACGATTGAGCAAAGTCCTCTATGGATCTGACACACCCAAGACTGGGTGCACCCAAGTCTGGGACCTCTGAGGGTGTAGATCAGAGCCAGAGACCTTTACAAGACCAACCCAATGTCAGGGACCTCTGTAGGAGCAGATCCAGACCAGGGACAATTACAAACAAAGATCTGAGCTGACAACCTAGGTGAGAGCAGGCCTGAGACAATAATCCATATGGAGTGGAGCAAAGCTCAGGAGTTCAGAGGAAACTCCAAAGCAGAGTGACCAATGGGGTAACTAGAACCATGGCACAGACTGTACCAACATAAACAACCTTCTGAGCCTTGGATTCACAAGCACCTAGATGATTAACCACCAGAATCACAGACAGCCCCAACCACACCAATTAGAGGAAAAGATGAGTACACAAGGTAAGAAGACATGCAATATCACAAAGAGCAATAGAACACTAGTAAATTCTAGACACCTACAATACCAAGATTTGAATAACCAAATATATTTGAAGCAGAAGAAAGTGACCTAAAAAATAACTTCAGGAGAATGTTTGAAACTCTTAAGAAGAAATTAGAAATTCCCTCAAAGAAATGGAGGAAAAGACAAACAAAAATATCTTAAAGAAAACCATGAAAAAGCATCAAACATTATGAAAGAAACTATTCAAGATGTGAAAACTGAAATAGAGACAATAAAGAAAACACAAGAAATACAATTTAAGCTCAAAAACAGACATTGCCTCAGAATAATGACTTGGGTAAAAAAATTTCCGATCGAATGGACCTAAGAAACAAGCTGGTGTAGCTATGCCAATATCTAACAAAATAGATGTCAAGCTAAAATCAGTCAAAAGAGAGAAAGAAGAACATTTCATATGGGTCACAGGAAAAATCCATTAAGAGGAAATGTCAATACTGAACATCTATACCCCAAATACAAGGGCACCCTCATATGTAAAAGAGTTCTAAATGTGTTCTAATATGTAAAACACTTCTAAAGCTTAAATCATACATTAAACCCAACACACTAATAGTGGGAGACTTCATCACTCCACTCTCACCAATGGACAGGTCAGTCAGACAAAAATGAACAGAGAAATAAGGCAACTAACAGATGTTATGATTCAAATGAACTTAACAGACATCTATAGAACATTCCATCCAAATGTAGAAGAATATACCTTCTTCTCAGAACCTCATGTAACCTTCTCAAAGATTGACTACATACTTGGTAACCAAACAAACCTCATCATATAAGCAAACTTAAAAATAAAAACCACATGATCATCTCATTAGATGCTGAAAAAGCTTTTTACTAGATACAACATCCCTTTCTGATAAAGGTCTTGGAGAGATCAGGGTACAAGGAACATACTTAAAAATAATAAAGGCAATCTATAGCAAGTCAACAGCCCACTCAGACTAAATAAAGAGAAACTCACAGTGATTCCACTGAAATCAGGAACAAGACAAAGTTGTCCACTCTCTCCATATCTATTCAATATAATTCTTGAGGTTCTGACTATTGCAACAAGACACCAAAGGGAGATCAAGGGAATACAAATTGGAGATGAAGAAGTCACACTCTCATTATTTGCTGATGATATGATAGTTTACATAAGTGACCACCAAAATTCTACCAAGGAACTTCTACAACTCATAAACACTTTCAGTAATATAGAAGGATACAAGATTAACTCAAAAAATCTGTATCCCTCCTGTACACAAATGATAAATGGGCTGAGAAAGAAATCAGAGAACATCTCCGAGTAACTCTAACCAAATAAGAGGAAGACTTGTATGATAAGAACTTTAAATCTTTGAAGAAAGAAATTGAAGAAGACACCAGAAAGGGGAAAGATTTCCCATGTTCTTGGGTAGGTAGAATTAACATAATAAAAATGGTAATCTTACCAAAAGCAATCTACAGATTCAATGCAATGCCCATCAAAGTCCAAGCATAATTCTTCACAGACCTCGAAAGTATGGAACTTAACTTCATATGAAAAAGCAAAAAGCCCAGGATAGCCAAAACAATCCTGCACAATAAAAGAACTTCTGGAGGCATCACATTTCCTGACTTTAAACTCTCCTACAGAGCTACAGTACTGAAAACAGCCTGGTATTGGCATAAAATCAGACAGGAGGATCAATGGAACTGAATTGGAGACCCAGATATTAATCCACACATCTCTGAAGACCTGATTTTTAACAAAGAAGCAAATAATTTGAAGTGGTAAACAGAAAGCATATTTAACAAATGATGGCACCATAACTGAATATCAACATGTAGAAAAATGATAATAGATCCTTCATTATACCATTCACAAAACTCAAGTTCAAATGTATCAAAGGCCTCAACATAAAGCCAGTCACACTGAACCTCAATGAATAGAAAATAGGAAGCACACTGGAATGCATTGGCACAGGAGACCACTTCTAAAATATAACCCCAGTAGCACAGAGACTGAGAGAAACAATTAATAAATGGGACATCCTGAAAATAAAAAGCATCTGTAAAGGAAAGGACATGGTCAACAAAACAAAACTACAGCCTACAGAATGGGAACAGATCGTTATTAACCCCACTTCAGACTGAAGTCTGATTTCCAAAATATACAAAGAACTCAAGAAATTGGTCATCAAAAGAACACATAATCCAATAAAAAATGGAGTACAGATCTAAACAGAGAACTCTCCACAGTGGAATCTAAAATGGCTGAAAGACACTTAAGGAAATGCTCAAAATCTTTAGTCATCAGATGTCAGTGTGGTGATTTCTCAGAAAATTAGGAAACAACTTTCCTCAAGACCCAGTAATACCACTTTTGGATTTATATCCAAAGGATGCTCAATTGTGCTACAAGGACATGTGTTCAACTATGTTCATAGCAGCATTGTTTGTCATATCCAGAACCTGGAAACAACCTAAATGTCCCTTGACTGAAGAATGGATAAGGAAAATGTGGTATATTTACACAGTGAAGTACTACACAGAAGAAAAAAATGAAGACATCTTGAAAATTTCAGGCAAATTTATGGAACTAGAGAACATCATTTTGTGAGGTAACCCAGACACAGAAAGACAATTGTCACATGTACTCACTCATAAGTGGTTTTTAAACATAAAGCAAAGTAAACCAGTCTACAAATCACAATCCCAGAGAACTTGGACAACAGTGAGGACCCTAAGAGAGACATACATAGATCTAATCTGCATGGGAAGTAGAACAAAAAACAAGATATCCTGAGTAAATTGGAAGTATGGGGACCTTGAGAGAAGGTTGAAATGGAGTGGAGTGGTAGGAGGGGGAGAAGAGAAAAATGTAGAGCTCAATAAAAACTAATAAAATTAAAAAGAAACATTTTACCTGATATTCGTTTATCTCTTATTACTGCCAAATTAATGCATAGAAATGAACCACCATGACATGTAAGAGATTTATTGGGCAGTGGTGAGTAAAAGTCTTCAGACTCAGCTTGAAGTCTATAGAAGAAAACAGGGAAAGAAGGTAGACTGGGGACGTAAGAGAGTCTTGTAGTGCTATAAATTACCAGGAAAGGTTTGGTAGGTGAAGCACCGTAGACTCTAAGTGGTCCTTCAAAATAACCCCATGGATCCCTCGATCAAACCTGTCTTGGAACCTGTGCAATGTTTTAATGTTCTCTCATTGTCTAGAAACAAATATGGCATAAACACAGCAACACATTGTTTAACTCTTGATTTAATTTCTACAGGGAGAGAAATATGCACATTCTACTCTATTCTTTCAGTCAGCGCTGTGGTAGAATACTCCTTACACTGTCAAGATTTGTCACTTGTATTAGTTTAATAAAATGCTGACTGTCCAGTAGTCAGGCAGGAAGCATAAGCAGAACAAACAGACTAAGAAGTCTGGGGAGAGGAAAGGCAGAGAGTCAGACACCAATCAGATGTAGAGGAAGCAAAATGAGAATGTCTTACTAAGAAAAGGTATCAAGTAACATAGTTAAACATAGAAAAGAATTATGGGTTTGTTTAAGTTGTAAGAGCTAATTAATAATAAGTCTGAGCTAATAGGACAAACAGTTTATAATTAATATAAGTCTCTGTCTTTGGGACTGAATGGCTAGAGGACTGGACAGGACAAAAACTTTTATCTACAAGTCAACTTTTTAAAGGCCTGTTTCATGTTTTTGTTTCTAAATTGGAAGTATGGGGACCTTGAGAGAAGATTGAAATGGAGTGGAGAAGTAGGAGGGGGAGAAGAGAAAAATGTAGATGAAAGGATTCAGCATGGTAGTAACTACCATGTAGATGACAGTGACCACTCGGTCCTTTGTCACTGAGTAGGTGGATGAGGGGTGAATGTACACAGATATTATAGTTCCATAGAATAGTGCCACAACAGTGAGGTGGGACCCACAGGTAGAGAATGCTTTGTACCTTCCTCCTACTGAGGGGACCTCCAGAACTGTCCAAGTGATACAGATATAAGAGATAACAATAAAGATAAAAGGGCTTATGATCACAATAGAGCCCTCTGTTAAGGCCAAAAGCTCATTCAGGGAGGTATCAGAGCAGGAGAGTGTCAGCAGTGGTTGCACATTACAAAAGAAGTGGTGAATAACATTGTCTCCACAGAAAGAGAGGCAGCCCATGAGTGAGTGAGTGAAGATGTAACACTGCCCAGGATGCCATCACTAGCAAGCAACAGCGCCTGGGGCTCATGGTTGTGGTGTAATGAAGTGGATGGCAGATGGCAGCATAGTGGTCAATGGCCATTGCAACCAAGAGGAAATTGTCTGTAATACCAAAAGTCACAAAGAAATACATTTGAGCAAGGCACTGGGTAAAAGGATAGTCTTTCTCTGTGTCAGCAAGTTCATTAACATCTGTGGTGCATCCACCAGGGACAGGTGGAAGAGGAAGAAGTACATGGGATTGTGTAGGTTGGTATCTCCCTGAATGACTGCAATGATGACTGAGTTACCAATCACATTTACCAGGTACATGGCAAGGAAGCAGACCAAAAGCCATACCTGTTGTTTGGGATCACTGGTCAGTCCTAGAAGGAGGAATTCTGTCATATGGCTCTGGTTTTCCCTGAGCACTGCTGTCATGCAAGCAAAAAAAATATACAAGGATTGTTAGATATGTGTTTTGACTTTGAGTCTCCACTTCAGCAGTTTTCTGTTCATGCACTGTGTATGGATGCTGTTCATATTGATTGTTATAGTGTTGTAATATGGCTTCATAGAACTGGTGTTAGGATACTTTAGATTCACATTCAATTTCATAAATATTTTTGTAAACCCAAATGAAACTATTCAGGTCTTTTTATTTGACAAGACAAAATTTATGGTAACTGCTTTATTTTTCATAGGAAAGGTATACAGAAAATGCCCATTTTAATTTCCAAAGGTATATTGATGACACTTCTTTTTCCTCCCCCAAAAGAGTGTACCATTCCTTGAAGAACTGCAATACCAGGTTGATGTGTGGTGTGTACGGAGTAAACTCCTATTCCAAGTCCTATTTCCAAAAATCCATGTAATATATTGTCCTAGGATGGAGGATGTATCAGATATTAGACTGATAAGGACTAATCTTGATCTTAGCCAAAACACCAAGAAGCATTAATGATGACACATTTTTTTGCCCAGTCTTTTCTACTATTATTTTAAAAAGTTAATTTTTAGTTCAATTTCTCACTCTGCTGGTGCCTTTGCCAGGTTCAAATTTTATGCTTCTTGAAAAGGAAAGCCTGCTTGATCCTGTCTTATTCCACTTATTTCTTTTCTGTGCAGCATCAGTTTCTACCTCACGTTTCCAGTCAGGGTTTTCCTCTCCCTTTGTAAGGAAAAGTATGCATCCCAAGATTCTTTGCGGTAGCCACATATTTATTCAAGGGATGTCTTCCTGTGTCAAACCCTTCTTGACAAAAAGTACTTTTGTAATTCTCTTGGTAGCTGTGGGACAAAAAGTTTAGTTTAGGAGTAACTTGCCCCAGAAGTTTCACATGTCGAACAGGGTATGTTAACTATCTAGTGTGGGTGGGAAGGTGAAATATATTTCCGATAGGACTCTTTTTACTTAACATTGGGCTTGACACTACCCACAATCTAAAGTGAGTGGTGTCAAGCTTATATAAAGAGGACAGAGGCAGAGAAGAGAACAAACACAGGGCCAGGTATGGGATTTATGTCTGTGTGTAAAGGTGTTGGTGTGGAGACTGGATAAAACATTGCTTCCAAAGAGAAATAAAAACAACCTCAGAGTTAGATTTTTAAAATTCTAAGTTGAGTCTGAGTGCTTGACCCAGAACTCTCAAAGCATACAAACTGCAGAAATAATCTTAGACAGAGGTCTGCTTTAACAGACAACTCCCAGGGTAAGAGGATCTTTCAGTTTATAGGAGAAGGGCATAAAGGACAGATAGAAAGTAGACATGAATACTTATTAATTAAGTAACACCTTAATTAATATACTTTTGCATAAAATATCCCATAATAATCTAAGTACTGATGAAATAAAAATGAAAACTGGGTTTATAAATGCACACCTCTAATCCCAGCTACTCACCATGGGTGAGAAGATTTTCATTTCCAGGTCAACCCAGGCAGCTTAGTGAGACCTTGTATCTCAATTAGAAGCTAAATTGGGCTGAGAATGTAGCTCCATAATAGAGTACTTGTTTAGCATTTATGAGGCTCTGAGTTTAATTGCCGAATGAAAATAGAATCCCCCCAAACAAAACAAAACAGAAAATCTAAAGTAAAAGAGAGAAAAGACAATGCATTTATTAAATTAAAAGTGTAGAAATCAAAGAGTTTTCTAAAAATATATGGATTGGGAGAAAAATAATGGTAGAGGGAGGAACAATTTGACTAAAATGTGTTATATTCCATCAACAAAAAGCTGAGCAACAATGACAAAGATTAAAGTAAAAACACTTGTCCTTTTGGAAATTAAGACTGACAAAGAAGGACCTTAATAACATAAAATAGTGTGTTTTTGGTGCAAGAACGGACAATTGACCAATAGAAAATGTTAGATAAAATGAAGCTCAGAACTGTGTTGATTTAGGAGGGTTGAAGCAGCTTCTCCATGAAGGTCTATGCCTCTCCAGCTGTGGATACTTGCTAGGTTTACAGTGCCAGGCATAAGTTCCTCATACTGAGTACTTAAGTTCAATTCAGCGGATGTTGATTACTAACCTTAGACACACAGGTAAGTGTAACTCTTACCCCTCATTAAAGAAGCTTCTTTTTGTATCATGTGAAAACTACTACAGAGATCCATACATTGTCAAGTTGCAGAGAGTAAGTGTCTGAGTTACACAACTACATCACGGTACATTGGTTAATACAACTACATCATAGACTCCTGTACTTAAGTCTCAGGGAACATATCTGAAGAAGGGGCAGAAAGATTGCAAGATCCAGAAGACTGGGTGCCTGCTTCAAGACAGTATTCTTTATATGGTAGAAATGTTACACCTGTGAAATATCAACATTGTTACCTAAATAAGGCCTGCATAATGACCTCATCAGTTGACATGCCAACATGGATGGGGGAAATTTCACAAAGCTTTAGCCTTAGAGGAAGTTTCAGATAGTTATTAGCATGGTAATGTGGATGCTGGTAATGTCGAACTTAGGTCCTCTATAGGAGCAGCTAGTGATCTGAGTTGTGGAGCCATTGCCCAGCCCCATATTTGTTCATTACTTTTTTGCTTAGTCTTGTTTCATAGAAAATCTCAAGGAGACGAATAGTTAAAAAGAAATTCTATTCTCTAATTTAAATATCCCCAAACACTATCCCAGAACTCGGTGTATCACTGTCCAGAATAAGAGTGACATTTATCTAAGAACACAGGAACACAGGAAAATGATGGCCCTAAGAAGCCAGTTGGAGAGAGAATGTTTTGGTGTGCTGGAATACCAGTTTACCACATCAAGAAGTAGTATAATTAACTTATAATTGAGTTGGAATTGAAATGGTTTTATTTATGATTTATGCATAATGTTTGACTCCACGGAACACAAAGAAAATGATATTTAGGTGAATCTATGAATTAGAAGGGGTAGAGCTTAGGTGATATGTCCGGTGGTTAAAAAAAAAACAAAGACAAAAATAAGTTGTTTACAACATAATGGTGAATAAAACAGACATAGCGAAGTCTAGAAGTGTCTTGCAACACTTAACAGATGAGGTGCTATCTGTTATATCCATTATATCTATTAGTTATATATATATATATATTATATATTAGTTATATCTATTAGTATCCAGAATACTAATATCAATGGTCATCTTTGCTTCAGCAGGAAAAATATAAGAACACCAATATAAAGTGTTTGAGAAAGTTGAAAGGTTTCCGAGTGTATAAATGGATGCTCAAATTCAATGGTAATTTCAGAGGTGAATTAAAATAAACAATATTTTCCTTTATATTTGTTAGATTAGTAAATGCTAGTGTGGAGGATAAGGACACAGGCTGGTAGAGATGTGGGTATGTATGGATTGTGTGTACCATCTGTGTAAATTGGTTTCTTAATATTTCACAACCTGGAAATTCTAGATGTATTCTCAGGAGAGAGGCAGCCATAGGGAAACTCACAGATTGGATTGTTTTGTGCTATTGTTAGTTGAGGCTGTCTTTGTGTCTATCATTGGATTGATAAATGTGACAGAAGCACACCATGGAGCTATTTATCAACAATGGACTAGAATTTCCCAGAGCAACACTGATGGATTTTAAAAAGAAACATATTTTGGTGAAAAGAATAATAAAGTGAATGAGATTCACTGCACAACATGTTTTATGTTAATTAAAATTAAGCATAAGAACACATGTGCCTGCACAGATGAACATTAAACACATTAGAATCAGGAAGTAATAGGAGCAAATTCACAAGTGAACAAGAACACAGAAAAGTAAATAAAATTAAAGTGGTCTAGTCCTAGCAATGTGTGGTTAGTATAACTTTGTGTTCAAAACCTGTGTATTAAAAAAAAAAGAATCTCAAGTCTTAAATAGAATTCAGGGGATTTCTTTTTGATTTTCTTCCCCAAAGCATGAGCCCACCAGGAGCAGGATAACAAGGCATCCAGCTCAAGTATGGTCAGTAAGGAGTTGTAAATTGTAACCTTTAGTATTTTGAAATCTATGTAAGTTGGGTTGAAACTCAAGAGTGGAGACCTAAAAGACTTGAAGAATCAATTTCCTCTGTTTGCTGGTGATGTTGGTATCTTTCTTTATTAGGCTAATTGATCCACAATCTATTCAAGCTTTGGCACCATTTCAATGTGCTAGAGACAAAGAGGAATCTCCCCATGTTGTAAATAAAGCATTTAATCTTACAATGTAAAATCATGGGGAACAGAAACACATGACCCTGGACTATAATTATAAACTTATTATTATTATTATTATTATTATTATTATTATTAGAACTTGCCTATTTCATAAGCTTCCAAACTGTGCTCCCTGGGAGTCCCATAGATCACCAAGGAATGGTCAGGAGTGAGAACTCTGAAAGGAAAATTTCTAGGCCCCTTTTTTAATTGGAGAATTCTATATATGTATTGCATTTATTGAGTGACCACATAATATGAAGTATGAAAAATCTAAATAATATGCTTTTTGTTTGTATTTTAAGCAAGAGTCGTAGGCTGTAGGGCTTCAGAATTGTTCTGTGGCCCAGGACATCTTCAAACTGTAGATACTCTTCTTGATTATGTGCCTGATGTCATATACTTCATGTAATAGAAAAAAATATGAGACTCAGAGAGGTGGTGATTTCCCTGGTGCTATGAGCTAACATGCCAATTGGAGTATTTTGAAAATCTAACCTTACCAGAAGTTCTCTCTCCCCTTACACTGTCTTGTATGAGCTTATGGTCCATGCTATTCTGAAGATGCTCAGATGAGGGCAGAGACCTCAGGTTTAGGGACAAGTAGGCAGGTCTGGGTCTATAGAAGCTGAGCTTTGTCCACCATCATTATGGCAGCTGCTGTTGTTTCTTCCGCAGTGCTAAGCTCCTTTATATTGGTGAAGTCAAATAAAATCCAAATCTTTTCTGTCTTATGTAAGTATGGAGACATGGCACTGGAAGTTAAACGAGTGTACCCAAGTCTAGGAAGCATAGGCAAAGGACTTGGTTTGTAGTTTTAGCCCAGATTTTATGTAAAAAAGAGGGCATCATAAGACATAAATAATTTCCTTTCATAACATGCCATGATTGTAGGACTTGTGAGCAGGATAACAACTTAAGGATAAAAACTTAAGGATAACAACACTTTCTCAGATATGGGCCAGTGATTTCCAGGGCACCTGTATAGGGGTTCGTGTATCTTCTCATCAGTGTCATTTGCAGTGGTGGTTATAAGTGGAAGAGTGGCTGCGAGGACAATCAAAGATTTCATGTCAGACTAGAAAGTAAAAGGTTTTTCAGGCTAGGTGTGGGTGGTGACACCTTTTAAGTGTGTGTGTGCATCTGTGGGTGCACATGTATCTTTGTATTCTCACCATTCTTCTCTTTTTCAGAGTAATAATCTTTCAAATGTGGCTCCAGACATGAGGAACATATGGAATATAGAGCTTTCTCCCACTTTGGCTGCTACTACTGACC